CCTTGACCTTTAAGTCTTTTTTTTTGCTACATAAGAGACGATGAACGTACACACACAGATAGTAACAATGTCAACTGTTTGTTATATCAAACAGTGGAACGTATCGATCAAAGATCACAATAGAAAAAGAAACAGAAATAAAAAAAACCAGCTAGAAGAAATGGAAAAACATAAATAAGAGAAAAAAAGGCAATGAAAGTTTGTTTTTTTCGTACAATATGTGTTCATGTTTTTGAAACAATCAAAAAAAAAGGAAAATAGATCAAGAAGAGAAAATATTACAGACACATTTGAGTGTTCTGTAAGAAAAAAAAAGAACAAAAAAAAAAAGGAAGACTAATGAAATTTTTTAAAGAGATGAATGGTTTTCGGCGCACGATATTTCATCATATTGTGTTCGTCATCGTTCGAGCATAGATCGCATAATGAAGTAAAATTATAGATCAAAGACAAGAAGAAGCGAAAAGACGTGCGCATTTGTAACGAAACGCAAAAGCGGAGAATGTGCAAGCTAGAAGATAATGATAAAAAAATGCATTCGATTTATTATATATGCAAAATATTGATAAATAAATAGAAAATTAAAATTGTATCTTTTCACTTGCTTTATCAAACTCCATGTGCACACGATCAGAACAAATGTTCGATTCGTAAATATTTAAAGTTTAAACGAATCGATTGGGAGATTAAACTTACTGAAGTGACGAAATATCATCGTTTTAATTTGAATGATTAAACGATAAACACGCTGAAAATTGATATTTATATTACTAACCTATGGCGCGAAAGTTTTGCTACAAAATATTTACTCATTTTTTGGTCACTTAAAGACAGAAGCACATGCAAGGAAAAGTCCTTAACTGATCCACACTGCTTTAATTGATATTAAAAATCCTAATAGGCTTTGGACTGATGAGGCTTCTTTAGAAGGTTATAATCATTTTATTGATTTTGTCACTTAGTACAAGGTATACAAAGAAAAATTGAACAATGAAGTTTCAATCTGAAATTTTGCTTAGATGTAATTCCCGTGGTTATTAGAACACTCTAAATGTTTTTCTCGTCGTGAAATTGAATTGTTAAAAAAAATCAGTAACATGGTTATAACCTTCGAAAGAAGTCCCATCAGTCCAAACTCTCTTAGGATTTTTCTTAGAATAATGTCCCTAACATATGGACAAAATATCATTGAAAACGGCATGGATCAATCAGAGATTTTACCTCGTTAGAATCAGACTTTTTAAACTCTTTTAGAATATGTATTCAGAATTTTCTTTTGGGATATGTTTGTTTCAAAATAGTGATTTTATAAATTTGCTCTACAAAATATCTTATTTACTTTTCTATTTTATATTTCACAGGAAGTCGGAACGATGAGCACAGATACTTCAGTACGAGAACGTTCAGTATCAACAACTTAACTACGTAAAAAACATAAAGATAAATGGAATGTTTATTAAAAAGCCAATGAATGTAAATGAAGGTGGATATTTGTTAGCCTTCTCTCCATTTCCATTCACACTCACACTCATTACCTTCATGTTTTTGTACGTACTGATTATTCCCGTACTCATCATTCACCCATCCCTATAGAAACTTGTTCTTTAGTGAAAATACACACATGACATTTCGCTTATTGTAATATCTCATTTTGTACAAAATTCAATAATCTGAAATAGCGAAAAATTCTTTTTTTTTTTGACTCTGATCAATTATATTTTAGTGACCGAAAACAAAAATGAGCAAAAGTATTGTATTAAGATCTTCATGCTATAGGTTAGATGTTGATCGAAATCCTTCCAACAGAAGCGCTTATTTTGATTTGCTAAAGTGAATTGTACCGTACAACAGAAAATCAATGAAACACGACATGATCGCATTTCTAATATTACAGATTTCCTATATATGACAGCAAATCTACTTCGGATTAGTATTTAACGAAATATCGATTAGAAGAAATTTTAATCGTTAATATCTTACTTGTAATATATATCTATCGAGAATCGAGATTTCTAAAAAATGATCATTTACATAAATTTTACTTAAGATTTATCAGCGTTGTAGATCTTTTGAAAAGAAAAAAAAAACATATGGATTATCATCATCTATCACAACTTTATTCTATGTGATAAATATAAACATTCAATTGTATCCCAATAATATTAAGACTAAATTATTCAATCGTAAGTAAACACGAACTCTAAAATATAAATACGAAATTAACAATGTCGAGTTTTAATATTATATTTCAATCTATTTCGCAATAGAAATTCGACGCAGCGTATACATAAATTTATTGAAAGAAGATATTTCTATGCGTTGTTTTTTTTAAAGCGAAACATTGAAAAGAAATTATTTAAATTTTTATACATACTTGTTTTAATTGATGATTGATTTGGAAATCATTAAACATACTTTAAATTAATTTTTCTTTATGATTTTTTCTTTGGTTTAATGTTTTCGATGATGATGATGATGCTGATGATGCTGATGCTGTATCATCTGATTGATTTTCTTCATTTTGTTCAACATATTCTTCATCATTATTATCATAGTCTTCAGGAGAAAAATTAGCTAATTGTGCACGTACAACATCACTATCAGGATTGATTTTTCCTGACCATAAATCTTCTATTCGAAATGCTTCATATATACAACAACGTGGAAACCAACCACGTGGACGACGACGAAGACGATGATGACTATTTATTATATCATCATTTTTCTTTGTTTCATTAGCAGTAACACATTCACCATATAACCAATATCTTTCCCAACGTGTTACAAGAACATAATCACCTTTTTCAATAGGCATACGAGTTTCATCCGACCAAGGAATACATATACATGTACAAAAACCATAACGTAATGTTATATATGAACCTTTATATGATTGAACAACTTCATAACGTACAGTACGTTGACGTTTATCTTTTTTTTGTTCAAGTTGTTCACATGTTAATGCATATTCATCAGAACCATCACGTACAGGCCATATTAAACCATCACCAATAACATTATATGATTCTCTCCAATTAAATACTTGACGAAAATTTTCTTTAAAACCAAGATCATATGGATAAATAAATGCTTTTGCACGACGATGATTACGATCACGTGCTTTACGTAATATCCAACTTTCAATACCTGTTTGATTACGCATAATACTTCGTAATTGAACAATTAATAAAAATCCAACCTACAAAATAAATTTATTTTTAACAATTAATAAAGAAAAAAAAACAACAAATAATAATAATAATAATAATAATACGATATATCAACTAACAGCAAATATAACACCAAGTGCAAGACCAATGGAAAGTATACATGATATTAAACCAACAAATGTAAAATAAATAATTGGAACATTTTTTATACGAGCATAAATATAATATTGAGCAAATAATGCTCTATATATACATGGACAAAGCATTAATAATGCATGTGTACAACCAAGTATAGCATAGAACATAAACCAACAAAAATTTGCATGATTAAAATGACCAGTACATGTATTTATCCATGGACACTAAAATATATACATAGAAATTTCAATTGTTTCTTATTTTCGATTGAAAATTGCAGTTTAGTTTTTTAATCATTAGTACACGTAAACATATTGATTAAAATCTATTCTAACAGATGAATGAAACGTGGAACAGAGATCTCAATGTATTGGGTAGAACTGATTCGATATGGTGGTGGATGTCTATGGGTCGAACCTTGAATAAAATATAAAATTTTTAAAAGATGTTGCATATTTTCATTAAATTGTTTTTTCAATCATTAATTTTTTGTTGACACTTTTTTCTTCAACTACTAGTGCTGATTCATCATCATTATATACAAAACAGTATACATCCGAACGGATCGAATTTCTCTAGTTAAATATGTCATCGAAGATTTGTCTATACATCAACTATTGGTACTACTCGGAATATGCTTACTCATTCATGTATTAAAAATTTTTCCAACGTAATTAGATGAGTAAGCCATTTTTTAAGAAAAAATCTATGACCCGACTGTAGTCCAACCTAATGAGGCTTGTGACGTGGAAGCTTGACTGTAAACATTTTATAATTGTCAATTGAAAAATTCTTTTTTTTTCAATAAACTTGTCTCAAGTTTTTATCTATATCACGAATCTATTTGTTTTGAGAAGTTTGAAATGAAAAAATTTCTTAGTTAGATATTTTGCTTTTTGAAATTATCAACTTACATGATGATCAAGTTTCATAACACATCGACGACATTTTTTACAATGATGTGCACGTGGAGCTTTGAAACCTTCACAAACATCACCTATATATTAATTATAATTAGCTATTAAATTTTTTTTTTTGTCAATCAAATGAAATCTTACAATATTGTAAGTATTTTTCATGTTCTATTTTTGCTGGTTTCCATCCTTTTGGTACAAATCCTATTATAAATATACAAAAAAGAAAATATCAATTCAAAGAAATTTTTCTTGTTTTTTGCTATATTTCAATGCATACCAGGACCAACAAAAACAGCACGAAAATAATTGTAAAAAATCACAACAGGCCATATCCAAAAAATAAGAAAATTAATCACACTTAATATATCTTTACTATCCGGTGGAAACCATTGAGTAAGACAATGGAAACCACTAATAGTTCTATATAGAAAAAAAAACACGCAATTAGATATTACAAACAAAAATCTTCCATACATCCATATTATCAGGGAGATGGCACCAATAGGACCATAATGTGCCAATTGATTTAATTGTCCAGAGCTGGTGCCAAAGCACATCTAGAATGAACAGAAATAGAGATTTTATTTCGATTGTTTATTTAGTATAATCAGAAAAACAAAAAGGTTGTTACAAACAAGACTTTCTTTTTCTGTAGCCATTAGTTTTAGTCGTTGTCCTCTCTCCATTCTCATTGGACGAATGAGAAAAAGAACAAGCTTGACTGTTGTTTTTTTTCCTTGACATTGATATTTTTAGTTTTTATATCTCAAAGTTAATGTCTCAAGAAGAATCTAACACTTTTTCATCCGACTTTTCATATTTATTTTTTCGTAATGGTGCTAGTTTTCGAATAAATTATAATGACAATGATGAAAAATCTCTAAATCAATCATGTATATCAAGTCTTACCGATTTATGTTGTTCAGTAATTGTACGTAATGAATCTTTAACTGAACAAGCATGTGAAACAATACCAAAAGAATTATTTAATCAATTATTTCGTGCAGCATTACATTATACACAAGATGATACATGTATTAATATTCTTATATCACGATGGCCATATCGAATATTTCGTTTAGAAAATTTTGTTGATGAAAAATTAACATCATTAAAAATGTTATTATGTGAAAAAACAGCATTACAAAGAACTAAACAAGCTATTAAATATTCTGTTATTATAATTCCTCGTTTTATTGATACAATACGACAACAACAACAACAAACAATACAAAAAAAATTATCAAATTTACGAATACTTGATGTAACAAATTTTCCTGTTGTGGAATTAATTATTCGTTATATTTCTACACATTGTCGTTTAGCAGAAAAAGAATCAAGACGTAATCAATTAATTGATATTTATAATCAACAACATCATCAATTATCACCAGATTCTAAAACTACTGATGAGAATAGGAATGATTATACAGGTAAATTAAATTTGAATAAAAGAATACAATTTAATTTCTTATATATGATTTCAGATAATCATTCAGAAAATTCAAACGATAATAATGATGACCTCATTAAATCAAGTTCATATCCAGATGATACAATTATAATTCGTTTTGATTGTATAATTCAAGATTATCGTACCTATGTTGAACTTCTATCTGCTCTTCGTTCAACAACTCCTAATATTCAATTACAAATATGTACAATTGATATGCGTTGTATTGGTTTAGCACTTGTTAGTAGTTTTCTTGATCATGTTGATAAACGAGTAAGTTTTTCATTAATAAATTTCTTTTTTTTTTTTTTGTTTTTGTAAAATGAATATACATTTAGTTTGTTCATACACTTCGTATTCCATATAATGTATTAACACGACAAAATTTAAAATATTTTCTACCACGTTTACCAAGTTTAACACAATTACATACATTAGATTTATCATGTAATTTTATTGATTTTCGTCTTAATCAAGAAGATTTAGATCAATTTTGTAATGTTTTATCACAATTAAAATATTTAAAACATCTTTCATTAAGTGGTTCACCAATAACAAATCGTTTAGAATTTATTCTTAATGCAATTGATCATTCATTAGATGTATTAAATTTAGATTTTTGTTCATTATATGAAAATGATTTAATAAGTTTAAGTGAAATGAGTACACGACATCAATTTTTACATTTAGATTTAGGTACAAATCGTTTAAATCGTTTTATGCGTCAATTATTAATTGTTTTAATAAAACAAACACGTCTTGTTGTATTAGATCTTGATTATAATCGTTTTTCATCAAATGATTATCTTGAATTAATAGCTTGTTGTCAACGATTAACAACATTAAAAAGTTTAAGTTTACGTGGACCAAATTCTTTAACAACACAATTAGCTGCTGCAACATTTATTGGTGAACATTATAAATGTTTACGTTCATGGAAAATTGCATCTCCTATTGAATATTCTTTAAATCGTTTTGTTGGAAATGATGAACAGAATTATTTAATACAAACTATTATGCCCTATGATATGTTTATTAATGAAATGAATAAACGAGCAAAATGTCTTGTTTCAATATCTGAACTTAGTGTATAAAACAAAAAACAAAAAATTTTTATTTTATATTTTTTATTTTCATTTCTTTTTTCTTTAAAAAAAATGATGATGTAGATATACGATTTAGAATTATTTTCCAATGTTCAAGTATTTTAAGTTTTTTTTTATGATTATATTCAGACATTTGCTCACTGATAAATGTTAAATTTGTATTTATTAATTTTATAGCAAGATCATCAGTTGAATTAAAATATGTTATATGTGGCCATTGATAAAAATCAGCAAATTGTAACCAATACCGTATTGACGAATAATCATATTCATTATTTGGATCAGGTATAGTGGAATTTAAATCATAACCTGGTATAGTTGAACAATTTTTACTTACACCAGTTAAAGCTTTCTCCCATGTTCGGTCAAATACAATACTATATTTTAAATGCCATTCACTTAAAAGATCAATTGATGGAAAAAATAGTGGAATATTCATTGTATACTGTTCAAATATACCCATTAGTGATACTTGATATGGTAAATATACAATAGCTGGATGACGAACTAAATTTGCATAACGATAAAATTTGTACAATTCTCGTAAAGGCTTAATAATTATTGATGCACTGAATTTTTTTATTGAAAGTTTTAATTCATTAAGAAATTGTTCATTAAAAGAAATGTGTTTATGTGTTGGAATAAAAATATATTCACGACGTTTATATTTGAATTGATAGACAGCTTTCGTATAATCACATATTGAAGGTAAAACAGTTGTATTAATACCAGTAAAATATCTTATATATTCAGCATCATACAGATTATTCGCCGCAACAATATTTCTGATAGAAAAAAAAAAGACAAGAATATTTAAATTTGAGAAAAGTAAGTAAATAGTTCAACTATCTGGAAATGAATACAGTAAAGACTCATAATATTCATTGAAATATTGACTTACATATACAGAATTAGCGAAATTTTCGATCTTATACATGATGAGATGTAAGAAAAATGAATGAGCCTATTAGTAAAGTTACTTTGAGAATTACTGTATTTGTTTTCATATGAAGTTTTTGGAGTTTCGAAACACTTGTTCTATAATGAATGATATGATTTAACTGATTCTAATCGACTGAATACAACTAACTTCTATTCTACAATTGTCTTTCATCATCAGTTTTATTCATTATGATATTTTTGTGAGAGGAAAGTCATAATAGATGTTATATGTCAAATAATATTGATCTTCAACAAATGAACTTGAAATTTTGAGTTTTTACGTTTTTAACTAATATGTTATTTATAGACTTTTTTTCGTTTAATAGGACTTCAAAATTTTTTTGTTTTTTTTTTTCGTTTTTAGGTTCGGCTCATTTTTTTTTCAATAATAATACTTAGAGATAAACGAAACGGAAAAAGATAAGATTGACCTGGAATTTTCAATTTTTCTGACGTTTGAATTATTATCTATTAAGATTAATTTTTATTTCGTCAACTTTTACGGTATGTATTTGACAAAAGAAACATTCTAGGATTTTTTAATTAAATTACATTTGAACTAACCGATAGACAAATAATTACATAGTCGACATACAATTATTCCTTTACTACGTCACACTAAATACTATAGTCATTCGTTAATAATTTATCATTTCAGTCAGCAAATTTGGCTCTTACAAAAAAATAAAATAAAAGATTATAATTCATTGTTATCGAATGTTCTCTATAATTTCGAAAACATACCGAGGATTAGAAGCAATAATACGTAAATTCTTATTCCATTCATTCCATTCGTCAACTGAAAATCGGCTAAGCTCATAACGTGTTGATGCAATAATAATAATTGTACGATTAAATGGCATAAATAATTCACACATAGCTGCTGGATGAAAACAAATAAATGCATCAACACGATTCATTAATGAATGATTTTTATAATAGTTATAAAATTGCTTTCGAATTGCTTTATTTGGGTTCATTCCATTATGTGAAGATAATATACGAAGATTTTTTGCACAAGTATCTGTTAAACTACATGAACCTGACAGACTTTTATCAATAAAACGAACACCTAATGGTATTAATAAATGTTTGAGATCATGTATTGGACTATTTTCGAAATAAAACATTATTTTCAAAAACACAAAAAAAAAGGAGAAAAATTTATCTTGTTTCTTACCTTATATGATAATCACTACTCCAGAAGGTAATTTTATCATCATACTCACTCAAATCAATCAATTCTTCTGTATTGTCTTCAAGAAAAAATATTAAACTAAAACCAATGCTAAAAAGAACAAGTACGGAACATAGAATGATATAATGACGGATTGTTAGACGATAAATCGATTTTATAACTGCCATTCTTTATTGTATGCTGTTTGATTAAAGACGATATGATCTATTCTATCGACAACGACGCTTAGTCTTTTTTCTTTTTTTTTGGTTACATATTTTACTATTTGATTAGAGGACATATGATGATCAAATATTATCTTCAAATGACAAATACATACAATATAGACTGATTTTTAATGATTGACATTAGAATAAAAGAAAAAAAAAAAAGAACAATTTCATTTCAAATGTATATACGTAGGAGCCAATATTCTAAATTATATGATAACAAACCATGTGACTTTTTACTTAATAGTTTGTATACGAGAGTACTTATTTACACATATGAATAAAAAAGACACAGGTGTGAAGGATAATTGCTTTCATATTGGAGTGAAATACATATATGGATGAATCATAAAAGCCTTGATCGTTGTTAATATAGAATGATATTTATAATACAAAAAAAAAAAACTTGATGGATGTTTATCATGTGAAATTTCGCTTTCTTATCTGACAAGAAAATATTTGCAGGTGATAGATACTTGGTAATTCGATGATTTTGCTGTGACTATGGTTTTTTCAGACTAACTAAAATCTGAAATAGATCAAAACATATAACGAGACTTGAGGTATATTTTATACTTAGAAAAGTCAGTTTTTTTTTCGTCAATATATACGATAACAAGAAGAGATACTATATTTTAATGAATAAAATTATTTTAGCTAGCATGGTAGAAACTTACAATATAACGTGACCAAGCATTACAAAATTTCAATTTTTTTTTTTTATCGTAACATCTATTTCTCGTCAATGACAAAAGAAAATTATTTGAAACTTTTATTATAGATAGAAATCATTTATATTTAACTATCAATGAAAATTTCATTGATTTTTCTGTAGCTTGAGTTCAATTACTCAGAACATACTGATCGTTACAGAATTTCAAAAACTGAATTTTTTTTAGCAGAGCTGAGAATTGAGCATTTTAATACGAAACCAAGCGACATACGAATAAACTTTCGAAATAAAACTTGATTAGTTTTTAACAAGCATAATTCTATCAAATAACAAATTAAAAATAGTGTTCTCAGATACTTTCATCATTTTCCCGACCATCACAGTTTGGATCAGAGTAAAAGCAAAGAAATCAAAAGCAATCAGATATTCATCATTACCATCAAATTCTGCATCAAACAGTGTATTTTTCATTAGAATCCAACGACAAGAATTTTCCAACTTTTCAACTCGAGAAATTTAAAATTTGAAGTTTTAATTAACTCAATACTTAATTTTGTTTGGAATTCGATGCTAATTTCAAATATGTGCATAATTCTGAACAAAAAAGAGTACTAAACACTTAATGGTTTAAAAACACTGCAAAATTCGAATATTAATAAAATTCTCTAACGAAATATTTCTAGAAAACAGATGTGAATATCAAATCAAAATGTGTATATTCCGTGGAGCTTATTCATTTCTATCTGGAAACATCATATTTTTATTGCGAAGATTAACAACATAAGTGAATTTTCTTATAGAATTTCATCAAAAATAGAGATGATTTTTGAACACATTATTTTGATGCGTAAACTTCTAACATTTGTGTGAGAATCATATGTTGAAACAGTTGTTCGTATTCGATAAAGAATTTTTTTCTGCTGATTGATCCTCGTTTAATGATGTATTCCACTACCATCTTTTGCACAAATTTTCGAGTTATCCACTCTAAGAAATATTTCGCGTGTACAAAGCATTCAATAGGCGTATAACATGAGAATACTAAATACTATTTTGAGAATGGCTAAATGTATTAGATTATTCTTTGCTTCATAACGATTTCTTGATGTGCTCTTTCTTTTTGTCTCTAGAAAGTTTTCTCCAAAATCCTTGGAAGTTGGGTTTCTAGAAAACTGTAGTGTTTCAGCTAGAAGCTGGAAAAAGAATGAAGTTTGGAAAAAACTTTTGAATATGATATTCAGATTCAGCATACAAAGACGAGCATTTCAAAAAAGTTTAAAACATAAATTAACATCCCAATAATAAGAGGTCAATCTAAATTACATCAACAAAATCATCCGATGAGACTTGTAACCTGTGCAAGAAATACTATTACCTCACCATTATCCAAATTAGCATTTTTATATATAAAACAGTTGAGAAAAGCAATTGATTATACCATATGCAATACATCAAAATTTATCAATGAAACGATTAAAATTCAATTGTATAAAGAAGATAAATTCATAAGTCTAGATATCGACAATCTATGCACAAATGCTCCAATGTCACGAGCAATAGATCTTACAATCAACAGGATGGGTGTGAGTGTGGATGGATATGAATGTTGCTGTAACTAAAAAAGATCCATATCCACATCCCACACCCACTCTCATACCCTCTAATAACCATTCCAATACTTTAATTAATTATTTGTATTTATTTTATTGATATTGAATAATACATACCACCATAATTTAGATCTCTCAAAAGAACAAGAGAAAATATTTATTTATGATGCATTATATAGTTTTTATTTTGAAATATCTCTATTAAAGAATGGCATTTGAAGAATACCAACCGAAAAAAACTAAAGACAATAATCATTACTAATCAATCATGAAAATTTGTATATAGCCGTTTAATTTTGAAATCGTTCATAATTTGCATTAATAACAGTTATTGGAAGAAATTACCATACTTTTCTATCAATAGGTTTCTAAAAACATTGAAAGTTTTCTGTAATTTTAATTTGACGTATTCTGAGAATCTTATGAATATAAGACGAATTAAAATGATAGTAAATAGTTAATTTATCTATTATATATCAAAGAATGATATATTCAAGAAATCTTTTCAAAGTAATTTAGAATCTTACCGCAATATAATCATTTTCAAGTTTTATGTTATTATTATTACTAGCTAAATAATCAGGTTAACCAATATGTTTATTGATAGCTTTAGCTTAAAGTATTATTTTTTTTCTTTTATTTACAACGAAATATTTATCAATATTTACTTTTTCTATCATTTTAGCTTTTGATGTATTATCCATCAATGAAGATTGATCAATTATATCAATAAATAAATTTCGAATATTTTCAATCATTTCTAATGACTTTATTCATAACACGAGATTTAAGATTTAAATATATTACGTTTAGTACTTGATTACGAGCATTTTCATCAAAATAATTTTTAATATGTATGTAGTTTCGAGACTACAAAATCCATATTATTATTAACATAAACTCCGCACTTTATTGTTCTTGGTTGTTCAGTACTACTGTCTTGAAAAACTCGATCAAATCTTTCTTTAACATTACGAATATATCTTGGTATATTTTTTTGATTGACTCATTATAAGATGCCCTATGAAATAATTTTGTAAAAGTCGTAACGAAGTTTCTTCGATTATAGATGAAGCGTTAATCAGAAAATCTAATTTCTTTAGTATCACATTATCCATATCATTTAGAGTTACATATACCAAACAAATATACACGATAAACGTAAGTAGTAAAATCAAACTGTTCAAAAAAAAACAGGATACATAAAAACGAAAAAGAAAACAAGATTCAAGACTTATACTAGATTTAATGTATGAGAAATATCATAAATTGTTGTTCGAAACATTTCATTGTCTCGAGCTCGTTGTCCATCAGAAGTCCAATAATACTATATAGAAAAGAAGATGAAATATGACACTTATATGTAGTATCAGAAAGTCTAGCTTTTAAAATATTCTTTTCAAAATCAAATATATCTTTGACATCTTGATCAATCATTGAAGTATCATTGGTTAATGCTTCAGCTAAGTTTCACATAAATTGTTGATAATCAATAGTAATATTCGTTGCATTTACATAATATTGACGCTGTGATAATCCACGAGCACCTTGACTAAACTAAAACAATATCATATTTACAAAATATAACTATATAAAGTAATTCAATTTGATTAATAATCAATCGGACTTACTAAAATATTAGTTGCTAACGAATTTTTAGTCATTAACATCACTCTTTATCCGAACGATAATATTATAATTGTCTTGATGAAGTTTAAGTAATAGATTTGTTAAACTAAATGTTGAACTATTCCATGTTGAACCTTGTAATATAGGGCAACCATCAAGTTTATTATTGATTAATGATAAGACAGAATCAATTTCTTCTATTTCAATCTTTGATTCATCAATACATGACCTATACAAAATGTGAACATTAATAACAGATTGAAGTTCAACTATTTCATTTGTCATTATTGTTGATAGTAAATTTACATAAAAATAATAAATCTATTAGAGAAAAACAAATTCATTGGAATTTACCAATGATATTTTCGTCAAGTTTTTTTTTTACTAAGAATTCTAAATGTATCTTGTGAATTAGCTATAAATAATTCAAAATTGATCATATTCAAGGAAAAACTGTTTAATATAATCCCTGTGAGATTAAAATATGAAATACGATGTAATTACTGTTGGTAATCACAACAGCGATATTGTTTTATTTTATCTATTTTGTGACAAATATCTTCAACATACATTGACTTGACTCTCCAGAAATCCAATAAGGAAGTAGCTAATTTATTATCACGAAACATTATTAGTATACAGTCTGAGACGCGAAGAATGAGAGAGGGGGGTCAAATTTCTGTTCCTATACATCACCATTCCTTGTAAATCATGTTTTATAAAACAAACAATTTGATTTATCATCTTCAGGTTTTCTATTACTTATAAGCCATGTTTCACAAACAACTTGATAAAATTTCTTACATGATTCAATCGATTGATCAATACCATCGATGAGATAATTAGCTATCAAAGAAAATAGTAGTTCTTTCTTTGTTTTTCATCAAATTAAACATTTACCTGCTTTTAACACAATATGTACTCAAACATAAATTATTATTATCTACAATTCAATTTAATGTTTCGATATACTACAATTGTACAAGTAGTAAAACTACCGAAAAGAATACCGAATAGTATAAATGCTATTTTTAAACGTGATCCAGATCGTGGTGTCTTACTATAAATGAAAAAAAAAACATATGAAAATTTTCATGTCATATTAGTTTCTCAAAAAAAAAATTTGTACTTGAGCTAATGTTTCAGTAATTGATTCAGTTTTCATTTAGTAATATTTTTGAAAAACATTTTGTAATTGTTCAAAACGTCCAAAAAGTTGTATCACAATATTTTTCACATACACCACGCATAAAAAAGTCATTTTCATCTGCAAAATTCATCAAAATATTGCGGGAAAAACTTTTGTACGTTTTTCAGATGCAAAAGTTGCCTTGTTAAGCGTCCTAACCTACCGTTTATGATGAACGTAGTTAGTTTTAGTATTGTTTGCATGAATGTGAGAAAACACTCAAACAAGAATCGTGATTAGGTCATTTCAACGCACTTTCAAAAATTTTTGTCTCCTTCGATAGCTTCAATCATATATTTAAAAATCGTTTGTTTTTTCTTATTTCATCATATGTTTATTTATAAACGGAAAAACAATCAAACTTCGTTTTGTTGTAAATTAATTGGTATAACTAACCCACATTCATATATATATAGATATATAGATATAAACACATCACAATATGCCCGCATACTCTAATCTCCAGAATAATTATGACAGATAGATAGCCATCACATAAACACTTACAGTTACTTATCATATCAATAGACAGAAGAAAAAAAAAAGATGAATGAATATATAGATATCAATATAAATGTATTGATATATGAATAAGAAGAAAATCATTTTTTTTTTATTTAGTAAAGATGTAATTACAATATATGCTGTTCTATATAAAAAAGACAAAAAAAACCAAAGCCCTCATCTGACCAAAAGACTCACAAAATGAAAAATATTAAATTGGTTTTTTTGTGGTTTTGTTTTCATGCATAATTAACTATTGTATGATGATGATGATGGTGAATAAATTTCACGTTGTGTATACATTGGATAAAATGTTTGTCTTGCATATGGATTCATTCGTGCTGGATGATAATTTGATGATGTTTCTCTTCGATAACTTAAATCAGACAATTGTGAATAAACAAAAGCATCAGCAGCATAATTTGCTAAATCTTGATTAACTAATGAAGAATAAGTTGTTGGTGAAATAAAATTAACTGTTGAATCTTGTGGATCAGATATAAAACAAGAAGAATTTTCAACAATTCTATTGAATGTATTAGTTTGTATATTAGATGATTTTTGTTGTGTACGAAGTAAACGTTGATTAGAATTTAATTGTTTTATTACATCAATCATACTAGAAAATAAGATTATTTTGTATTAAAAAGAAAATGTTTTTTTTGTTTTTATTTTTCTATACCCATCTTCTGATTCACAATCACGAAAACCTTTAGCAAATGGATTTGAAGCGATTTTTAATTGAGTTATTCGATGATTTTGATATGCAGTAACACTAATAAATGTCGTTTCAGAAAATGTAAATGTTCGAAATGTTTGTGTTTGTTGTAAAATTGATTCATCAGTTTTAATCGATGGTGAATAAACACAATGAATTCGAGGTTGATAACGATGCATTGAATTAAGTATAATCTTTATCAAAAAAAATTAAAAAAAAACAAATTTATTTGAGAAAAAATGAAAAATTTTGTTTTTTTTTTCTTACATGTCCATTTTCATCAAGTAAATTATTTGTTAATTTAAGTTTATCAAATGAAACAATATTTTTCATCCAAGCTGAACCTGTTTGTGGTGAATCTGGATGAACATGAAAACGACCTGGACCATGTGGATCAGCTTTACCAGCAACAACCCAACTTGAACTAAATAAAGATTTTGTTTCTTCTGTTATTTTTTTCTAGAAAAAAAAAACCAATTTTACCTATAAAATGCATATCGATAACGTTTATCATCTAATGGTATAAAATCAACCATAAGTAAATAAGTAGCTGTTGGATCCATACCAGAAATTTTTACTTGTAATATTGGAAACATTCGTCTTTAAAAAGAAAAAGAAAATAATATTTTGTTTCTCGAAAATGATTGATAATCTATATTCAATAGACATATGTTTTGCATGTTCCCCAAGAGATTCAAATTCGATTGAATCATTAGTATCAATCTTATCTATTGTTTTTTTTTTGAATATCTCAATCATACTTAATGATTATTATAACGTAAAGTTAATTACATTTTAGGAACAAACAATTTATTGTTTTAATAAGGATTTTCTTTTGGTTTAGTCTCTGGTTTTAATAATTGTTTCATCATAGCTGTGTTAAACGCATTATCTTTCTTGAATTTATCAATCAGTACATATGAATTTCAATTGGAGGTAAGAATCCGTCGGGTCAAACTTTTTTGGACTCAGATCCGACACGTTCTATTGGAGGTGACAATATTTGCATTAAGTTAGAAGTGTCAGCTCTCCAGCTCGAGTCTATTTGGGAATAGAGAAACCCAATACCTACAAATTTATTTCACTTTCCCTTCAAACTAAGATCTCTTGAGTGAAATTATGAAATCATTCAGAAAAAAATTGTGTCAATGAAATGGAAAGATATTGGTGTGTTTTTTTTATACCTTCCTGATCGAGTAACAATCATTTCTGTTCCAAGTTTATCAAATTCATCCCATAATGATTTTGATTCAAGAACCATTTTAATATTAGCTAATTTTGGATGAAGTGTTTTCTTTATTTCATTAATTCCATTTGAAATATTTTCATTATTAGATTTATTTATATTTGTTATTGATTTAATATTTTCTGTTGTCAGTTGAATATAATCTAAAAAATAGGAAAGTTATGTTGAATATTTTCTTTGAGGTTTTTCTTTTTTTGTTATGAAGTATTTACTAACCTTCCATATGTTGTGTTATTGATAAATTTTTTTGAAGATTTTTTATTTGTTTATAATTTGTTGATCGATTTTTTCTTCTTCTTATTTGTTGTTGATATTCTCCGTTATTTGTTTCTGTTAATGTAGCTGAATGAAAATGATGAAAATCTTGTTGAATAGAATTTGAATAATTATCGTTTGTAATTTGCTCAATTGAACAATTATTATTATTATTATTATTATTATTAGTCGGATAAAAATTTGTTTGAATCGAATTCGTCAGAGAATGATATAAACTATTTTCATCATCGCAACAATCTGATGTAATCAATGAAGCAATACTGAAACTACTAGCACGTGATGTTAGCAGATTGTTATCCATAGAAGAAAATTATTATTGAGTAAAAGCAAAGAAAAAGAGAGAGAGAAAGAGAGAAATGATAAGGTGATATCATTTGTTCGGTTCGTCCGTAGGCAAAAATATGTATATATACGAAAAAGACGATTGGTACGCGATATGAACCAGTCGATTTTCTTTTATTTGCTCGCTCTTCCTACTATCATCAGCAATGACGACTCATCAACGTCGTCGTTCGATGAATTGTTTATCTCCTATTTGACTTGAGGAAATACGCACATTCTCATACATATACGATGACTTGACAATCGTTATCATTCGTTCTCTTACTTGTAAAAACGAGTATCAACATTAAGTCTGTTTGGTATTTTTTTCTCTTTCTCTTTTCATGTTTTCTACCAATCAGATAGAAGAATCATATCAAAATCTAATTATATTTGATTCTTCGAAATTACTGCAAGGGCTCAAAAAAAAAAGAAAAAAGAACTTTCAAATTGAAACCAATTCAGCCTTACAAAAATATTTTGATATACATTTCATTATAAAGAAAAAGTGATAAAGAATGATGGGCTGGCTTTGTCTCGATTCTTTCATATCTAAACTCAAGAATGTGTTGACATTTGCCTGGTTGATGAAGATGTACGAGTTCGACAAATCAATTAACTCAAACGTAAGATTGATAGCGTATAAAATAAAAAAGAAACTTTCTCAGTCTGGTAAATAATTTGCAATGGTTATTATTCAACAGCACATTGCACTGTACATATATATACATATATATACATATATGCGTAATATACGTAGCGCATCATTGTATATGAGAATAAAATTCAATTAGAAAGATGATTCGATTTAACGTTCTTATTTGGTACTAATGATACTTACAATCGATGATAGGATGTAAACAGAAGAAGTTTTATAAATTAAGATAAATGAGAATTTGATGAAGAAATAAAAAAGAAGGAAAAGTTGCAGAAGAAATAAATGAGATAAGAAAGTTTCAAGCGAAAGACAAGAAGAAAAAAGATATAACAAAAAAAAGAAAGGAAAATTAACTTGTGCTTATCTTTGTATCACTATCAGACTCCTGTCACTAAATATGCATATGCATATAGACATATCCATCCATTGTCTATTTTGTTATGCTTGTTGATACAAGGATGCGATCATAGGAGGAAAAAATGACAATATTGATGCTTAATTTTTGTAATACATTACTGAAGTATTTGACAGAGATCAGATTGACAATGTCAGATCGACTTCTCAATGATAATTTCTACTCACTCAACTTATAAAATAAAAAATAACAGAAAGATTCTTAGTGTGAAATTTATTTTTTAATGTTTGATTTAAATTTACATTTATAGCTTCTAATGTAAAATTATTTCGGTCAAATATTCAGATTTTATATAGATATATTACTGTTACTGTATGATTTATTCAATCTTTTATAAGAAAAAAAAAGTGTATCTATTCGGCTAGCTAACGAGAAAAATTGTCCAACTGACGAACCAGCTTATTACTGCCAAGATCAGGCTTCTCGATTACGGAGAGAACTTTCTCCTATAAAATGTTCGACTGTCAGCGGAAATTCTTAATATTTTCTGCCAATTTTTTACACCTTCGTGGTAGCGTTGGATAGAGACCGGGTTTTGAAACACCATTTACTTTTCTCTGACAGAAAGTGAAATAAAAATAAGCAGACAATCTTCTTGCAAGGCGAATATGATTGGAGCGGATCCTGGAGGAGGAACGGGCTGGTAGAAGATTGTCTGCTGTGGATGGAATCAAATCACGGTTAGTTTTGTTCTCTTCCCTTCCCTCTTCCAGGTCACTATTTCTAACATTACAAGAGTGAAAGTACTTTCTGCAGAATTTTTAGTCTCTCCCATCTTTAAAAAATATCGACAATCCTGGTTGATATACTGTACTTTTACGATATTTTTTAAATGGATGCCGTAGTCCCCTTTAGAAACATCAGAAAAACTGATTTTCGAATTTCGACTTGAAATTTTGCATTAAGATAGGGCTTAACGAGAATTGTTTCTTGTCAATATTTCAACTCTTGTCGTTGTTTCTATTCCAAGATACAGCTATGGTAAAAGTGTGTCTTTTACATTGCTCTTATACACCGACAGCTTCGATGTTTTTATTTTACGATAAAAGCAAATCTAAAAACTTGATACTTTCATTATAAATTACTTTTGTTAAGACCTGTCTTTCTAAAAAGTTTCAAATCGAAATTCGAAAATGAGTTTTTTCTAGTGTTTATGAGGGTGTGGGTGTGGCAGCCATTTAAAAGTTACAATAAAAAGAAGTATCTCTGCAGCAATAAGCTAAGAGCAGGAATCATTTTCAGGATATCCAAAGTTCATTCGGATCTACATAATGCATATAGTCTCGGCTCAAAAACGATTTATCAGATGGATGACTTCTCTCGTAAAATGAATTCTTTTTCATGTCATTAGAAGAAATATCAATCAACAAAGAAAAAGCTCAGTTTGAATAATTATCTTTATCATATCTCAACAATACTTAAATCATTGAATTTTAATCAATTCTCAATAAAATTAACATCACACTCATACATATCATAATACTAGAATCAATGTTAGTCATAAACAATGTTTGACAACAACTTCTAATTACATGAAAAACGGAAACAAAGTTAATAGAAACAGTGTTGAGAATAAGAAAAAAATGCACTTCAATTTGTTTTAAATGATAAGACTGATACTTGCAAGTATGTTTTTTTGGAGTTAAAGTGATGAAGTTCGATTCAGTTATTCATGCTAGACGATATAATTTTCTGTCTAATTGCTAAACTTCAGAAGATATTTAAGTTTAATGAATATCGTGAGTAGTACTCTAACATATCAAGTGATAAAAATGATAGAATAGGATTTTTTTAATCAATGTTTTAATTAATTATTAAATTGAAATTAAGTAAAAGTTTATTACTTTTACTTTGCTTTCTATATTTGAACATTTGCTAATTTTTAAGTCGTTCCTTGATTATGTATATATTTCGTAAAATGAATTTTTTATCTATTGTTTATCTTTGATTCAGTTCATATACTTGTCTTTTTTTATTGATGTAACCTTTTTTTTTGTAAATTAGAGTATTGATGAGTGATTCATATGGCAATAAAACAATACGAAATGTGTTGTTTAAATTAAATTCAATATTTTCTATAATCATCATTCTTACAAAATCGATTAGCTTTTATAAAACTAAATTAAAACAATTTTATTGCATTCTCAACTTCTTTAAATTCAAGTGATTTCTAGGATTCACTTAAGCATTATAAAATATTTTAGATTCATTTATTTATAAATAAGACAAATCTTTTTTATTCATTTCATTATTTGCAGTACTGCACAAAATATAAATGATAAATTTTCTATAAAACTACAGTAAAACTAAGTTGATTTAATTAGAAAATTTTTTAAAAGAATAAATTTTCTGTTCATAATATTTATTAAAATATGAAACTGCCATTACGAAAAAAGAAGTATTGATACAAGAACTGTCTTTTTTTTGACATTGTATTTATTAGTTAAATTGGGGTTTTCGATGATTATAATAACCATATGGTGATACGCGTTCTTCATAATGAAGATGAGGTCCTGTAGTTCTTCCTGTATTTCCACTTTTGCCTATTTGTTGTCCAGCTTTAACTTTGGCACCAGTTTTCACTAATTTTTTACTTAAATGTGCATATAAATGCCGAATTATCTTACCACTAGAATCTTTAGATTCAATTATAAGATGAGTTCCATAAGATGATCCCCAACTTCCAGCTTTAACAACGCCAGCTTTTGTTGCAACTACTTTTGTTCCAACAGGACATGCATAATCATCTCCTGTATGATAACCAGCTATCCAGCTACCCTTTTTACCAAATGGTGTTGTTATTTTTTTACCAGGAACTGGTGATACACCGTTTACTTGATTAGTAATACAATGAAGAAAAATAGCGAGAATAAATAAACCCGATAAGGTATATGTGTTAGTCATGATTTTGTACTGTGTAAACCAATCTATAAAAATACTTCGGAAGTGCACATGTATATATATATATAGAGAACACATGCCACTGATAATGATGAAATCAAATGATTGATAGAGATAAGCTCATTGCATTGGTATTTAAAACATGATTGAAAATATTTTTAGGCATTTATAATCCTCAAAGTGGTGTAGTATGTCAAATAGGAATGTGCCGATGAAAAAAAACAACTTTAGGAGAAACGAAGTTTGTAGATGTCACAAGCAATCTTGATAGAAACATATAATAAACACATTCAGTCCAATGTGACCCACCGGTGAGTTACATTATATTTTAAGAAGAAACTGTATAGAAAACCGTTTCCTTTTGCCTTTTACTTAGACAGGAGGTTACACATAATGTGTTACCTGCTCTATCTTCAGTATTTTTTGAGTCTCTTATTCTATAGCATGATACTTCTCGTTAAAACAATCAAGATATATGTATCTCAACATCATAAAAGGAGCTTTAAAAATAGAAAAAAGAAAAGGGAAGAATAGAATTAGCAAGAGAACTAGTGAATGTAATAGCGAATGACTGCAAGAATAGAAACACCGATACATATATATATACATATAAGCATGTTGGAGAATACTAAGTATGACATAAATGAGTAAATTATTAGGAAAAGTCCAATATAGAACATGTATTAACATACCGAGAAAAAGCTAATACGTCATGTTGGTAAAAACCCGTATGTGATGCATAGATATGACTGTCCATGTGATATAACAATCAGAAAAGAGAAAACAATGGGCCAGCACAGAATGAAAAGGACAACAAGTGCACATAAAAATGAATTTGCTAGAACCATTCTGTAATAAAACTGAATCGGGCTGAATGTGTTAATAACAAGATTCAACCATTTTTATTTCCAATAGAGACGCATCTACAATATTAATTCTCATCAAAATAACAACCGAAAAAAAATATGTGAACATATGAATCCAATAATTAAATACCGGAATAACATATTTTCAGACTTTATGTATTTCATGACTGAATTAAAATTTCTTGTTTTACATGTGTAGTTTACTTGGTACTATTGCCTCATTATTAGTGAAGCTAATCTTAATAACAACGTAATGTCAATGGATATTATAGATTGATAGTTTCTTGCCTATTCCTTTTTTAGAGAAAGTTTAAGGATAAAGTATATGAAATGCTACACATCAAGGATTAGGAATATATAAAAATATGTTCAACACTATAGGATTTCAATTGATGTACAATGAATCAATTCATCATAAACGGTTTTTTGCAATATTATTAAGGAAAAGGAGATACTCGATTGAATATTTTTTTGCACTCGTATTATTTTACGAACCTTTTTACTTGAATTATTTGGTTTTTGAAAGTTGATATAACTAGTTACATACAAATGGAATTGAAACTCTTCTAGAATATTCTCTTTTGTGATGGTAAAAAAAAACGTGCCTTTTTTTAAGTATTTAAATTAAGTGACAATTCTTTTATAAAATATTCTTTATTTAAAATACACTGATATATGTAATTATGTAAGATTGTTGATTTTTTTCTTTGATTTTTTTTGATTTATTAACATTTTATTTAATAAATTCAAGTCAAATTTTCCAGTCAATGTCATTTTTTGTCTTAAGAAAAAGACATTTGTCATTGACATCTGATAAATATCATTACTAGAAAAAAAAATGAATGCTTTTTGCATGACATTTTACTGATAAATATGTCAAAACCAATTTCTTATTTAAATCTAGAAAAATCTTATTGATAAATAATTAGATATTTCAGTTGTTTTTCAAATAAATATAATACTAAACTTAATCCTTCTTTTTCTTTTTTTTTTTGAAAAACTTCCGTTAGTAACTTTATAAATATTAATAAAAATTTCATTCCCTATATATGTCTATGTATTTTCTTTTGTTTATACACACAAGCAACAAATTTTTCACTCAATTATAAAAAAAAATCAATTACATGTATTAGAAAAACAAGACCAAAGAATGATAAAACATCTCGAATAAAAATTAAATTAAATCTCACTCATATATCACAAATGTGTCGCTTGCTTATAGAATCGCGCGAAAAAATGATGTGCTATTAACATAAAACATACACACAATAAAAAGAAATGACAATAGTCAATCCGAATCGATTGACATTTGTTCATTTCTATATATATATATTTTTTTTTTTTGGAACTAATAAGAAAAAAAAACAATTGAATAAAAATGAACTAAAGAATAAGTTTGATTATCTAACGATGTTTGTTTCTTATACGTCTGTATTTAGTCAAGAGAAGAATAAACAAAACATTCATTGAGTAGTTGTAGTACGGGCTTGCGCATCTCTGTAACCAATACCATATGCAAGCATTGTAAGGGCTGTCCAGAGAAAGTAATGAGCAGCAACACATAAATTATATGAATATCCCATGTTTGTATGAGGTACATTTGATAATTGTCTAGGAAAAAAATATGGTTCTTCATCACGTGAATGAACGCCCCATGTTGCATACGCTGACATAATGAACATAGATGCAAAGTATAAGAGCCCTAATGATCCATATAATATAAGAAGACCTATTTGTGAATCCATAAACATGCCAGCTATGGCTGCTATTATAGAAAATGCAAGCAATAAAAGACCAAAAACAGACAGACCAGCTTGAGGAGCCCGATTCTCATTAGTGCAACCTGGACCATTCGGTGCGTCTATACCTGTAAGATTTTCTCCATAACATTTACGGAAAAGGCCAATTGTATGTCCTTGTCCACCATCAAGCCATACAGGTGTAGCTACACTAATAATTAGAAGTAATAGAGCAAACGAAGCAATACCACTTGCAGCAGCAATTGCAAGTTTAGCTAGAGTTGGCATTAAAATTCAATTATAAGTACGGTTGTTAGTTGAAAGTAATAATAACGATTTCAAATCTATAACAAAAGAAAAAAGAAATAATATATTATAATGAATGTGACAATTATATGTTATTGTTGTGTGCATTTTTGTGAAAATTATTTTCATTGAACTAATTATTTTTAATTGAAATTTGATAATAAGAGAGAGAGAGAAAGCAAGAAAAAGAACCAGGAAAGAATTGCTTTATTTTTGGTGTAAATGGATTTATAGTTAATAATGTGACTAATTAAGTCAAAACATAAATTCAGATTTCTTTTTTTTTCCTCTTCTCTCTTTTTCACTGAAGGCAACAAGGACCGATTTATTCTCTCATTCTTCAATTCTCGCATGAAATTGTCGGTGCAAGTTGACGATGATGGTGGTCGCTAATATGAAGCAGTTTCACAACTGCTACTCAAAAACGAACACAAGCAGCCACTCACATTGCATCGTTCTTCTTCCTTTCTCTTTCTTATTTATTTTATTCTGCTACTGCTTCTTGTCGACTTGTTAAAAAATCGATGCAACAAAAATGTAATAAAAGTTTTCAACTATCAGAAGCGATATAAGAAAGATTATAGCGTATACTATACCTATGGTAGCGTTATGCAACAACTTATAAAGATATTTCTCTATAAAACACTGACTTTTTTGAAATAGAAAAACAAAAGAAATGAAAAAGTTAAACAATTCATGCATAATTGATGTATTGTCGTGATATTACTAATCATCACACTATTTCTACAAATAACGCCTCCTACTTTCAGACACGATCAAGCAACAGAGAGAGAGAGAGAAAGTTAAAAAAAGAGTGTAAACGAAAAAACATATTTCAAAAAAAAAACACAAACCTAGAATAATATGTGTAAAGAACAAATGAGATGTAACAACTCTGTTTGGGAATACATAAAAAGAAAACAGTATATATTTAATGAAATTGCATCATATAAGCGTAATTGAACTTGCAACAGGTGTACTATGATTGTATGTCATTGCTATTGAATGTAATACTCTCAGATATACAATTGTCTAAATAATACTTTTTTTTCTAAATATATGTATATTTCACCTTGAGCTACAGGAAAATAATTATGCTCAAACAGAGACACTGACAGAAAAAAAGCAAATACTCTTGAAAATCAAGAGAAAATATGAATCACAATGAAGAAAAAAAATTCAACATTGTTTGTTTTAGATCTCGATTTTTTTGTAAATGTTTGTTTTCAATTTTTCTCATAGACGAAAAGAAACAAGAGAAAAGGAAGAAAAGAAAAGAAGACAAAAAATAATTTATAAGAAAAATTTTTTTTATTGTAAACTACATATGAAATACACCAACGAAATGTTGATTTTTCTTAGTAGAACACGAACTTTAAAAAAAGAAGAAATCATACACATCGAGAATATAATGTCTTAAAAGATTGAAACATGAATAGTAAAATACATAGTTATTTAACTGAATAATGAAGAAAAAATAACGATGCATAACGACGAAAATCTTAATTGAAGCATTTTCCTCTTTCTTTTACTACCTGTTCTTTGTGTCGTGTCTTGAACATTTTTTCTGTCTTTTTCATTCCTTTAACTGTTGTCTACTTACTATCGACTACGAATGTTCTCCTTTAAGTAAATCTCCGAAAAAATTAGAAAGAAAAAAAAAAAAAAAAAAAAGAACATAAAAAGAAATTACAAGGAAGAATTGTCGTTGTCGTCGTTACACCATGGCAGGTCATTTATTTGAAAGAATAAAAGAAAAATGAGTCAACTTTCAATGTCCTTCTCACCAACAAAAAGGATGACTGACATTTTGTTACGAAAGAAAGTCGACTTTAAAAAAAAATAATGTAGTCAAGTTCAATAGATTACTGTTAGATCAATACTATAGACTAATAGAACAAAAGAGAAGTAAAAGAATTTCGATGTTAAAGAATAACAATATTAAATTATGTAAGAAAAAAAAATTTTCTTTGTACATAAAAAAAAAATTTATGGAATCAATGAGAGAAAAAGTAACTAGCAATTATGATCTATTGAATTCCAATATTTAACTATTATTCATTGTAAACAGTTGAATTGAGCAAAAGACATCAAAACATATCTTTAATGATGATTTTCAATCTAATTCAAAAAGTTTTGAGAAAATGAAATAGAGAGCTGCTGTAACACATTCGTCTATTCTTACATTTGATACTCTAAAAGAAACAAAAAAGAAAAGAAAATTGAGAGCTTTCGACTTTATATGTCGCTGACCATCAGGCAAATAACTCGTCGTTTGATATTTATTTCTGTAATTCTACTTCTCATTTTCTTTTTCTTTTTTTTTTGTTTATTTTAACATAAACACTTATGTTAAAATAGTTTACTAGAACTTGTAACCGTCGACACAGTCCTGTACAATAAATTGTACATAGATTGCTTGTTTTAATTCTTGTTGCAAGTAATGTCGTTGAAAATTAATCAGTTTTTGTTTAAATTCATTAATTAATTTGGATTTTTTCTAACTAAAAAAATTTAGAAATTAGATTATCTCGAATAAATTCTTAATCGTTCTTTTCTGAAGTTTCTTAGTTAGTTTTTGACATCGTCGAATCATTAAAAATGTTACCACGCCATACCTTTATGCGAGTCGTTCATTAGAATCCATTTCTTGAAGCAGTAATATTTAATATTGAAATAATGAGGTAAAGAACTGCTGTAAAAATTATTTATTCATACATTTGACACTTTAAAGCGAACAACAAGAACAGAAAATTGCAAGTTTTCTACTGGATATACCTATGCCATATTAAAATATGATCTTAAAACTTGAGTTTCCTTCATGCTTATGAATGCAATTGATTATTTATCTTCGTGATGTATTCATGTTATCAAGACTGGCCCAAAGCAACCAACATTGGGAAGGTCTTGGATATCGCAGTTTTTCGGAAGGGTGTAAAGAATTTTTTTTTCAAGAGAACGGATGAAAATTTTTTGGCTCCTTTGGGAAAAGTAAAAAAGTTTTCTTGATGGGAGAGAGGAAGGGGGAAGGAATATCATACTGTCGACATCTCTTACCTCTGAATTAGATCATTCTAGATGTTATATCGGATGATATCTATAGTCTTTGAGTAATCTCACTAATATATCTAAAAATTTTATAACATTTCGATATTTTTACTTAACATTAGCGCCCATATTGTGCTGGCTCTATCTATTAGCCAATAAAATCTGAGTAATGAATCATATACTTTTTGTCGGATATGTATTCTTTTAGTTGTTCTACAAAATGCAATCAATTCTACGTGGTGGTAATCGTGTTCTTATATCAAGGTCAACGAATGTTTATACTAATTTAGCATTGGAACGTTATTTAGCTGAAAATATTAAACATCAACCAAAAACTCGACTTCTATTACTTTGGCGTAATAAACCATGTGTTGTTATCGGTCGATATCAAAATCCTTTTATTGAATGTGATATTAAAGATCTAGGTGAAAAACAAATTGATTTAGCAAGACGTTATTCTGGTGGTGGTAAATATTCATTAAATTGATCTGCAAAAAATCATATTTTATTTTATTCCATAGGAACATGTTATCATGATCTTGGTAGGTGAACAAGATTCTCTTTTCTCAAAATACTAAATAACCAAATTATTCTCTAGGAAATCTCAATATAACAGTTTTAACAACACGTGAAGATTATAATCGTAAAAAAAATCTTCAATGGATTACTAGTACAGTAAACAAAGCATTTAATTTAACATTATATGTAACTGATCGTGATGATATATTTCTTGATGCATATAAAGTAACTGGTAGTGCGTCACGTCTTGAACGTTTATATGCATATCATCATTTTACTCTACTTATAAATGCTGATTTAAATGAATTACGGCGATCATTAAAATCTAATGATCGAAGGCATATAACAAGTAAAGCAACATCAAGTGTACCATCATCTGTATTAAATTTATCAGATCGAAATAATTCAATAACATATGAAAAAACTATTGAATTATTAATAAAAAATTTTTTTGAATGGAACAATGAGAAAAATACTTCCAATTATGATTATATTGATCCATTATTATATTATGAACAAATAAAAAATTTTGAAAATGAACTTAAATCAGAAAAATTTCTTCATCAAGCAACTCCACCATTTGTTTATACAATTGAATATAAGAAACAAAAAATAGAAATGTTTGTAACAAATGGAATAATAACTTCTATCAAAGGAGATGATATAATTATTGAAAAACAAAACTTATTAGGAAAATTATTTCATGTAGTTTATGATAATATTAAAAAAATAAATACAAATAGTTTGTCTAAATAAAGCAAAACAATAAGATATATTACTGGAATAAAAAAAAAATATATTGACTTGCAGAGAGATATTTGTTTTTTCTTTCTCGTCTATATACATAAAATATATGTAATAGTCAATGAGTTGAATGAATAATTGGTTGAAAAAGATAATTATTATCACGATTTTCAAAAGAATGAGTTGTTTTCATCTTTGGTGTATTATATGTACGAAGAGTATAATTTGGTGTGTCTGGTTTTTTCGAATAATTTGGTGAAATATGACGTTCAGAAGAATGAGATTTTTGATTATTTGCACCTGATAATGGTTTGGTAAAAGTTTCAATAATTTTTTTCGTTTGAACATGATCATTAACATATTTCGATCCAAGTGAATTATTTGATCGAATAATTTTATTATTTGATTGTAATCCATTTGTTGATGGTAGATTTACTTCAGCTCGTTTTAAACCTGTATATACAGATGCATCAGGATTTTTTTGATAAGATAAATTTGTTGTTTTTTTTCTTTGTACTATACGTGGTGGAGTTGATATTTTTAGTTGTGTTTTAAGATAAGAATCGGTTGTTGGTAATTGTTGTTCTATAGGTTTTTTAGTTCGATGAATAATACGAGGTAAATTAATTGGTGGTGTCGATATTGTAATTGAATCAATAATAATATCTGGTGATTTACTTTGTATAATAAATGTATGTGTATATGTTGGTGGTTCAGCACCAGGTTCAGGTGGTGGTGGTGGTGGTATGGGTGGTGGTACACGACGAATTTCAGTTTCATTATTTGGTAATTTATCTTGCTTTTCTAAATGTTCAAAATAAGCTCCATAAAGTGGTCTATGTTGTCGCCAAGGATCAATAACTCTCTTATTTAAATGTGATGTTGCTGCAGATGAAATTTCTCGACTTGGTGGTAATGATTCTTCTTCGACAGAATCTGATTTTAATGCAAATCGAACATGTTTTTGTGGTTGACGTTTATGTGATACTGTTGTTGATAATATATCAGGTAAATTAGGAAAAACTGTTGAAAATGATGATTTTAATGATTTATCAATATGTAGAGGATCAAGTGTTGATAATGAATTCATATCTATTATTTCAATAGGTTTTATAAAGCAAAACAAAAAAGAAAAAAGAAAAATATTATTTCAAACATACTATTTAGCGGATTTTTCATTACCGTACCCATTAATAATGATATATGATGATGTGTAATAAATTGTCACCGAAAATGTTTTTACTACTTTCAGATAAAAGTAATGTTCGTTTAAGAGAAAATCAATAAAATTCAAATAAGTGAAAGACAAACTTTTCAATGTATCCATAAAAATGAATAATCTATTTCAAGAATAATAGAAGATTTTAAAAAAAAGAAAAAAAACATCTGTAAAAAAAGTTTGCTTTGATTCATTTTATACATCATTCATCTGTTGGCTATAGGTGTTCTGATGTAAATTCTTCAGATTTGTTTAGTTAATCTATTTTTGAATGTTATTGTGCACGCGTATGCGCATATTCAGCTACTTAACAAAATAAAAAAACATTTTATTGCACTTTTTTAAGTAGTTAAAAGCTTTTTTCTTGGCTCTTTTGTCAATCACTATCGTTAAGATTCTGATCAATGTATGTGCAAAAAAGAAACAACTAGAATTCAATTTATTCATGTTAACAAAATCATATCTGTTTTTTTCCCATTGTAACACAATAATGTTAATAGTATGAATAAATTAAAGATATGACAGTAGATTTATGATGCCTTGTAAATCATTTTGATTGTATATTTACTGATATTGCACATAAAATATTGAGTAGGAAAAAAAGTTATTATTTTTCTTTTTTGGTAAATATATGAATGTTTGAAAAAGGGCAATTTTTACTGTAATTATTAAGAAAAATGAGAAAAAAAAGTCCGGCTAAATATAATAAAAGAACGTGTTAGTGTATTATCAGGTGTCTATATTAACGTCAAAATATTTTTCATTATTGCTTACAACAGATTCAAACTTTAGTTTTGTTTTAAAAACAGATATCAATTGAAGTAAGTAGTTAAATACTATGGTTGATTTTGTGTAAATTTGCTAGGTGTAAAATTTCGTATTTATTCATTTTGATATAATTTAAATATTCGAGCATTAATTTATCAATGTTTAATTAAAGTTCCATATGTGCATTCTTACTTTGAAATCAATGAAAAAGAAATTTGCTAATCAGTGCATCGAATAAATATCGATCTTGTGTTGGCTAAAATCGTTATATTCGATACTATTAAAGGCATATAAAACAAATTCTTTTTGGCGATTCAACATTTAACATCATTCAACAATAGAGATTGATAAAAATTTGTCGATGTTAATTAAGTTGAAGTAGTACTAGTCAGTTGATGTAAAAATATTTTGTGAACAAATTTGATTTCAGAAATAAGTTAATTTAGAAAAAAGCTTTAAGTTTTCATTGTTTTATTTCTTGAATCAATAAAGCAAAAAAAAAACAAAAGATCAACACTCTTTGAAGCAGACTATACTCATCGAATTGAACTATTCGATTAGTTAAAATCTATTAAAAAATTAAACATTTACAAATTATTTAATCATTAATATATAAATCATTTTAGTGTTTTCGAAATTTTATTTAGATTATAATAATGTGCTATCAAATTTGTCTGGAAACATTTATTTTGTTTCTATTCATAACATCATTTGTAACAGCTATTGAAGAAGCGACTTCGTCTACTAAACTGACTTCTGGTGATACTAAGGAAACAAATTCAATTGATTCAAGTTTTACTTCTAATACTGAAAATTCTTTAATGCATGAAACCACTATGACAAATGATGTTATTCGTATTACAACGATTAAAACTGATACCAATACAACAATAAGTCGAATAACGACAACAACAAAGAATTCAGCAACTAAACATTCTATACTGAATGTATTTGTCTTCATGATCATCGTGCAAATCATCATATAAGAAACTTATTTGTCAAAAAAAAAAAGAAAACAATACTTTTTTTTTTTCGAATCTTCTTTGTAAAATGAATAGTTATTTATTCATCTATTTACTCCTAAGAATTTCAATTTTTACTGTAACAAAAAAAAAAAACAAAAAAAAAAGAAAACTGAATGAAGATAATATAGTCTTATATTAAAAAAAAGAAGAACAAAAGAAAAAAGAAAAGCATTGACTAGAAATATACAAATAGATATTGCCGTCAACGTATAAAAGAAAAAATAGATAAAGCACGATGGAGATCACTGTTAAAGATATTTTTCACTGTATTATCATTCTTTATTAAGATAATAATTTAACATAATTTCCTGGAAATGTTCCAAATTTCATTTTATTATCATAATTTGATTTTTCCATCATTCCACAATACCAACCATCATCACACATTTCAATTATATTAATTATATCTCCAACATGAATTTCAAGTTCATCTGGATTTTGTGGTGTATAATCATAAAGTACTTGACATCTAAAAAATAAAACAAAAAGAAAAATCGAAGTATTCAAACAAAAAAATTCAAAATAAATAGTAATTAGATGTATAATTATATTTACTTTCGCATAGGTAATGGTAAATTTGGAATAATATTTATTTCTTCAGTAGGTGTTTGTTCTAAATCAGGAGAATCTTGTTTTGATATTTGAGCACGTTCATTTTGATAAGGTTTTCTTGATATAATATCTAGAGAAAAAATATTTTCATTAAGATTTGAAATAGATCATTAAAATTTTTGTTGTTTAATTCATTTCCTAATGATTTTATACAAAGAAGAAAATTCAAATCTCAATCAAAGTTCTTTTATTGATCTAAGTGAAAACAATTATGAAATGACATAGACACAACCATAGTGAAATGTGCTGAGTTCAAGATATATGTGTACTGAGTAAGTTGCAGAGCACCATGAAGTCAAATTTTTTTCGATTCTGACAATTCTTTTTTTTTTAATCGACATATACAGTGACTCTAAAAATCGATCATATAAATTTAATTTCGCTTTTTTTTTCCGTAATGGTAACTTGCATAATGAATTAAAATAGTGACTTCAATAGAGAAAATTGTTTCCAACGAGAATTCGATGGAAATAAAATCTTCACAATATTCTGCAAATGTAAGATCTGTAGAAAATCTCAAATCTAGTTTTTTAGTCCTAGAACCTGAATAAAAGATCTCTGTTCTATATAATCGAAAGAAACTTTTTTTCGAGTTCTGCGTACTGAAAAGATTTTGAGAATACTGTACAAATTTTATTTTCGTCAAATCCTTGTTGGAAACAATTTTCTCTATTCAAACCACTATTCAGATTCTTTATGTTTTTTTATTTTCTTGAAACTTCTTTATGAATCTATAAAGTTATATATTTTTATTCATGCCTTAACATGTGTAGCAACAAGTTTTTGCTATGTAAGAGTAAAAATACTTGACTATTTTAGTGATATAACTCCGATATTGACTTCAAAAAAATTCTTTTTTCAGTACTCTGTTTCCAGTATGTCATAAATTCGTGGTTGAATACACTACTGAGAATTGTGTTAGCACATGAGTACTGAATAGGTACTTGTCCAGTCTTTATGAGAGTCCTGCACGAACGACTTTCTTAATTTTGATTCTCGTAAGGCTTTCAAAATTTCTATTATGATTTCATTCTTCGTGCTTTGCACAATCTGAGATGGTCTTAAATTAAAAATAAAATTATGATTGGAGATATATTTTAATAAAATAAAAAATAATTATTATTTATACATTGAAATTTATCAATGTTAAGCGGAGAAAATTATTTCTTTTATCAATTTAACAATTGAGAAGAGAAAAAAAGATGTTAGAAAAACAACAAGATTGATGGAAAAAACCAAAATATTGAAAAAAAAGAAGATAATAATAATGCGATATTACGAAATAAACTGACTAATAGTCCTTGCGAAAGTGATAATCACAATGAAAATAATAGTTATGATAATTTAATGAACTAGTCGAATTTTTATTGGTAGGTATTTATTATTTTTCTTGTAATTAATAAGCGATGTCAAAGTCTATTTCTTAACAAAGTATGAAAAGTATATACATAAAATAAAGCAAAACGATTTTCGACCTTGAACTCAGTATACTCACTAGGGGGGACAAGTTTGTTCTTTTAGAAGTTAACGATTTCACACTTTATTGATTACTAAGAAAAGAAACTGATTTTATTGACAATTTTTTTGTATTAAATCAAAAGTGTCTCTACTCAAAAATGTTATCTCGAGCAGAAAAGTCAATAATGTAATGCTGTAGACAAGGATTTAGTCTACTTGATATTTACAGATGTATGCTCTTCAAAATATAAGATAAGAAAATAAGTTTCCTTTTCTATCATTTAATTCCAATATCAGTTAAGATGTTATTGAAACTCTCAGCGATATCAGGATTATGAGTATAAAGATTGATGAGTACATGGCGCATTGATGAGATCTTAATAACTTGTTCCCAATACTTCCGGTAATATTTAAAGAAATAACAAAAGTCAACTTAATTATTAAATCATTGTTCTATTGTATAGTAAGTCAGAACTAGTGAGTATGTTCTAGTGCTTTTAATGTTTTATTTGTTAAATATATTGAATATCATTAAAGTTTACTTTATTAATCTTTAAAACTAAAAAAAAAAATATCGAAAGTAAAACATTGAAACTGATAATACTAAAATGTAGAAGAAAATTCTTGTTATCTATCTTTAATCTCATTTCAATATTTAATCATTCCAATCAAAATTGTATTCATCACATTATCAAAAACAAAAATTGCTTTGTTTTTTTACCTGTTGGTTCTTTTAATGTTTCAACATAAGCTGCAGGAAAAATGCCTTCAATATGATTGAGACGTCCTTCATACCAATAATTATCAATCTTTCGTAATAGAATAACTTTATCACCCTAGATAAATAAATTATGATAATAATTTATTATCTAATGACATTCCTGACCTTTCGTAATTGTAATTCAAATGTTTGTTGTGGTATAAAATCATATTTAACAATAGCTTCGCCTTCAATATCATAGTCATGGTCATAATCATTTAAATAATCATCTTGTTGATTAATTTCAATTGGAAATAATTCAACATGATTAAGAGGAAATATACCGATCAAACCTTGATATTCACCTTCAAGCCAATCATCATTAATGCGTCTTAGGACCAGAAGTATATCGCCTTTTTTAAAAGACAATTCTCTTTAAGAAAATTAAAAACATAAATTAAATTTTAATATTTCAAAATAAAAATTATATAAAAAAAAAAAAAACTGCGTTCTACCTGCTGGTCTGTGCATAAAAACTATGAAGTGCAAGCGCTTTAAAAATAGGTTGAAGTTTTAATCGTCTTTAATAATTAATAAAATTAAATAAAAAACAATGCAGAGATTAAATATTAACTTACGTTTGAGTTTTATGTTCTGGTTTTTGTTGATTTGAATCAATAAAATCATGATGACTTATTCGATCCTACAAATTAAAAATAAAAAATTAATGATCCAAAACATAAATCTTATGAATTTTTATATACTTGTTGTTCAGTATGTCCATTAGTACCATTACTTAGTTTCTCTACAAAAAATAGAAAAAAAGAATTTTCTTTTTCTTTTAATTTAAAAATCTTTCTTAAAAACTAAAATTTGTTAGTATGTTAAACTATTAATCTTATTCGATTTTTGTTAAATATATACCACTTACGTTTATGATAAAAATTCGAAAAAGATGATGCGCAATGAAAACAATTATTGTTAAAACCAAATAAAAGTTCTATTAGAATTATTCTCTTTCTATTTGTGTTCGTTATTACACATATTAAAAAGCAAACTACTTACGATTTGGTTTTCCAACATGCCAATGAAATTCTGAAAATTAAAGAATTCTATTATATTTATATCTTTACGATCATCATAGCCTTATTTTATTGATCTTATATATATAATATCTCCCAAAATTATTCGACTGGATTTAATTTTAAATTTTTTTCCGCATTGTCGTCAACATTAAGACGAATTCAAATAGTTATTTGAGTAAAGAATTTTTGTAAAACACGATCTCAAAAAAGTGTTGAGGTATATAGGATAGAAATTTACATCCATCCCCGCAGACGGTGACAGATGCTAGTAAGAGACCATGACAGACATTGTTGATATGTGCTCGCAGACTGTATATTAACAACGTTTCGTTACAATAATTGCATTGATGAAAGATTATGACAAAGTCGAGGATGAAGAAATATGTCCTTAGATATATAGAACAAAATAATCTTCCTATGATTGACAACATCAGCAACAGCATGTTTTATATTTGAATTTCGCAATGATTGCATTATTTTGAAGATAGAAAGGATTGCTAGTTTTCAGAAGATCGAGTCTCTGGAAAAAACCAAAAAACAGATGTTTTAGTTTCTAAAATTTAAAATTACAATGCTGTTTAAATTACTCAGAATGATCGTGCAAACAATCCTCTACAAAATGAAATATCTTTCAGCTGTCTACAATGTTTTTTGACTATGATACAAGGAATTGATGGAAGACATAAAAGTCGTTCTTTTTTTCTATTACTTCGTATGGAAACTCAATTTTTATGTCTTCCGTAAAATTGATGTATATTACAAGGGAACATCTCCAGATGTTAAATCGCTTTTCGACCGAGACGACATTCATTTGATGAGTACTAGTAAATAACATAAAAGTCTAGCATGATTTGAATTTCTGAATCTTCATTCTTAAGACATAATGGATTTTTTAACAAAAAATTGTCGTCACGTGGAAAATTAACTTTCGACTTTCGATTTCAAACTTTGCACGAACAAAGCTCCTGTTCAGATTAATTCATTGGACAAGTTTTAGGTTTTTGAGTATATCCTTTCTCGAAAATACATGGACAAAATCAGTTTTTACACATGAGACAATTTCGAATATTTAATATTTCAGGATAGGAGAGATATTAGAAAAGTTA